CATGAATTCAGATCCATAATCAATAAAATAAGTTGTATATTTATTCTACAAATATTACTGACTCTTACTAATGCCTTGCTTTCATATATCTTGAAACTGCTACTAGAAACAAACATGCCATAGTAATTAAAATATTAATTCAATAGAAATGTAGCATATGTATAATTGGTGGTCAACTTATTACATCCAGCTGAATTCAACTAGTGTGGTACTTGGTGCAGGAGGCCCACTTGAGGTTTGTTGCCAGCAGCAGCATAAAGGTCTGAACAGAAGAAGCTGTCAAAATATGCTCTTAGGGATGCTGTTTGGTGAAGCTTTTGGAGCTGTTGGAAGCTGCTAGTTCCTTTGGGCTGTTCTGCTGGAGGACCTTGTCATGCTGCCTTTCCCAATGAACTTTGGAGGAGCTCAGGTCTTCATCTTGAGCATTGTTTCTTGGCTCCAGAGGGGAAGATGGTGCACTTCTCAGCCTCATGCAGCAGCTTGTTGCATTGGCTTTCCTGATGGGAACTCAGATTTTCTCATTGCTGGAGGAGCTCAGGACTTCACTGTTGCTGAGGGTATCTGTGGTACTTGGAGGGGAGCTTTGGTGCTTACCTTCAGCATTACTTCCTAGCTCCAGTTCAGATCCCTCAGCTTGCTAGCACAGATATTTCATCCCATTGGCATGGACTTCCTAGTTTCCGCCACTGACCTTTGGGCCTTCCTAGCTCTGATCCATGAAGCAAGCCTGCATGAGACTTTGTTATGGGCTCTAGGCCTCCAGTTGGACTTGTGGGAGGCATTTTTATGAGCTCTAGGTTTTCATCTGGACTCATAGAGGATATTAGGATCCAGGCTCTCAGCTAGACTCTTTAATATTTATGTATGTGGACAGATTTCCATCACATCTTATATGTGATTCTTGGATGATTCATCATAAAATTCTATTATAAAATGTGACCTGTACTATCTTATTCCTCTTTGAGAACCCCAAAGTATGAAAATGAAGATATAAAATTTGTAGATTTTATATACCATAACATTCTACATCTATCTATATGTATGTCTAACTTGCGGGAATTGATGAAATAAATTTTTAAATAAAAGATTTATTTATTTTTCCATTTATCTATCTATCTATTTATTTATTAATTGGTACAGGGTCTTACTATGCAGCTTGGACTCATAGTGATCCTCCTACCTCAGCCTCCCAAGTGAAGGGATTACAGTCTTGTGTCACCACATCTGGTTTCAGTGATTGGCATGGTGGAGGGCCAGCACAACACTTGGTATAGGCCCTGGAACCCAGGTAATTATGCTTACCAGTCAGGCACTTAAAGTGCCAAGCTATATCCCCAGCCCAGGAATAGACTTTTTTTTTTTTTTTTTTTTTTTTTTTTTTTTGTGGTACCAGGGATAAAAATCAGGATCTTGGCTTGAAGCACTTATTTACCTGAGCTATCTCCCTGGCTCCTGGAATAGACTATTTAATGTGTCTCTGTGGGTCATGAAGGTACGACCTTTGGTAATATGTCTGGTCTCTTCTCTTTTTAATGATTTCCCTTGTTCTGCTTCTTGGTTGTCATGCATGCAGCAGCTTTCTATGCCATGCCCTTCTGCCATGCATACCAGTTTTGGTTGGAGCCTCCAGAATATGGACTCAAATCTCTGAATTGGTAAACCAAAATAAACATTTTGTCTTTAGGATGCAGGTGTTGGACATTTTGCCATAATTAATAAATTTATTTGGTACCAGGAATGTGACTGTTGCTGACAGTGGATCTGATCATTTAGTTAAAAATGGTATAAATTGTTTTTGTGGAATAGTTTGAAAACATTTGGAGATGTTTACTACAGATTTCTTAAAATAATGTAAGAATAGCATGATGAAAAGTTCTTTTTAGAGCTCAGAAAACCAAATGCTGATAGAAATGCAGACAATAGAGACAAGGCTCAAGAGTTTTCTGTCAGAAACAAGACATTTATGAAGTATACTGAAGGTCATGCTACCCTCTGACAAAAATTCTTCTAAATTTCATCCATGCCCTGGAACTTTGTAGGAGATAGGTATTAAGTATATTGGGTAAAGGAATCTGACAAAGGATATTCAAAGGTAGCCCCAAATTTGAGATAGGGTATTGCTAGTTCTACATACTTTCAATGAAACTTAAAATGGTTTTTGGGCCAAAAAGTAAAGCAAAAATTTGAAAAGCTTTAATGTTCGCTCACAAGGAACTATTTTTAAAGTTGATGCCAAAGCAAGTGTGACTTCTAAAGAGAAAAAGCTCATGAAAAAGTTACATTTTCTTTTTTTATCAGAAGAATATATTTATTGGGAGAAAGAAAGCTCCTGTCCTAGAGAGGGACAGATGGGGGTCCCTGAGCAAGTGATTCCCAGGAAGCTGTCTCTTCCAGGGACTTTTAGAAAATAAAACCATGTGGTGAGCCAGGTGTAAGGTGTTGGAGAAAATGAGAACTCACGTAGGTGGGCATGAGGTGTGACAAAACTATGGTCAACCAATGAGATTACAAGCACCATTGCTGAAGTAAAATTGATTCAATCCAGTACCAAAAGGGGAAGCGAGTTACATAGCAAGCAGGCATGAATACATGACAGGTTCTCTTCCTGTTGGGGGTTGGGTTAGGGACTCATTTAGGGTCTTTCAAAGTACCTATTTGGAATATCAATCCCTGATGCCCATTCCTTTTGTGCTGTGGAGGACCACCTGAGCAGCTCTCCTTGAAGGAAGAGTGATGGTCTCTATTTTGACTGAGCCTGACCCTAATTTCCTTGTCTTGATACATACATAGCTGACTATGACTTCCCTTTATCCTTTCAATTGGCCTTAAGCAATGTATATTGGTCTAGCTGAGGTGCTGCTGACAGTCTGTGAAGGTGGCATGCATATTTCCCTGGTAACCCATACCTGTTGCTCTTTAATATGAGCCAGGTAGAGACAGGACAAAGAGCCAATGCTCCACACTGCCAGCTGGGATCGAACTTCAAGATAGAGGGTATGACTTCTTGAGGCTTTGAAGATTACATCAGAGCTAAAGCACCAAACCCCCAAAACATTAGATAGCATCTCAATAGTATAATGCAGATTACTTTTCTGAATATCCTCTCTGCATATGGCAGAGGTAAATGTAGGCCACCCACCTAGCTCAGCTCACAGTACTCAACTATTTCCCACAATTCTCAGTCATTACTCCTCAAGCCACTCCTCCTCCACTGAACAAAACCAGGTGTGACCCTGGGTCAGCCTCTTTGTTCCAGAAAGCCATCTTTGTGGCTGGACTTAGGGCCCCTTGGCTCCCCAATAGTTATAAATATGTTTTAGTGTCTTTACTTTTGCCATGGATTGCACTGGGAGTGGTACATTGGAATTAATTTGATGGGATTCCAATAACATATCTATGAGATTACAAATATTGACTTCTTGGACTGAGATGAAAACATGGAAGGGACTCCTACACTGTGCCTTACACATTAACTAGCAGTGAGAAAAATTTTTGTCATCCTTAAAGTAATATGTTTTTACCAACATGTAAAAAGTGATACTAGGTTAGAAAATATGTTTCATCTGTGAGCTTCAAATTTAAAACTTGTCCAGTTGTTGAAAATGTTTACCTAGGTGATTAGATGGAAGACAAGTATCTGGAGACTTGGCTCAGTACACAGGGCCAAATCTCTCCAGTCAATGTTTCTATCTATCTCTTGAAGAGGCTTTTGTAGCCTGAAAAATACTCACTTCCAATTAATCTTTTCATGTAATAGTTATGCTTCCTTCTGTAGACATTCCTGTTTCCAGACCAATTGTACCTTATATTCACAAATATACTCTTTTTTTTTCTTGCAGAACTGGGGATTGAACTCAGGCCCTTGAGCTTGCCAGGGAAGCACTTATTCCACTGAGCCATCTCCCTTGACCCTAGACAAATATTCAATATGAGTAAGCAAAAGGTTTGCGAGATTTTTCAGGAGATAGAAATTGCGTGCCAGTTCGAGGGTGGATAGGCTGGTGGGATCTTGTCTCCCTTCTCTCCAACAGGAGCATCCACCTGCTCTGGAGAGGATTACTCAAAGGATGCCTGGGTGGAGGAATCAATTAGAAAGAAGGTGGGAATGCCCAAAAAGATAATTTCTATTGAGTTCCAGGTTATCTCAGAGTCAAAGTCTCTTACTCCTTCAGAGTGCTTCATTAGGCACCAGAAGACATTTGATCTTTACATGCTGAAAAAGAGCCATTTAATCCAAATGGAATGCAGAGTAAAGTATAGATTACAGCACTATTTTACAACTAGATATAAAGAGAAGGAAAATGGTAAAATAAAAGATATCATCAGATTTGGTTTGCATTAAGAAGGTTATTGTTATTTAAGTTTTAAAATGTAGAGTAAGCTACAGGAGAACCAGGAAATGCAGGTGCCTGAGGCATTCACTATCTCAGAGTCTTAGGATACTCCTCCCTAACCTTTGGAGTCTGAGGACAAGAGAGCCCTAATCACAGCCTTGCTCACTATTACTGAAAGTAAGGTTTCCCATATTTGCCTTTTTAAAGGGTGGACTTCTAAAACAGCTGTAATCTAGGCCTTTACAAGACTACCCATCCTTACTTGAGTTTATGCAAAACTTTCAAGGATATCATTTAAAAATTTAAATAGGCAGTTTAGAACTTCCATAATTCATGTGCCTTTTTCTCTGTGACCTAAAAGAGATAAAGTTAGACTCTAGAAAATCTTTAGTTGACCTTGAAAAGTTACATTTTCTACAGGTGCTAAAAAGGCACACCTTGAGAATATCCCAGTAATCAGAAAGACCCAACAAATTAGTGCCTCGAAGGTACACAAGCATGAACATTTCATTTTATGAGTCACTAGGACCCTGACTTAAAACAACCCCCTAGGAAATTGATGCCTGGAATTCATTTTACTGTACTCAGTGAATTAAACATGCAGGTGCAACTGTAGCCATGGTCCACAGTGACCTGGATACTGCCTCCCATAACAGTAGAATCATCCTACTTACCTGGTAGTGGAGATGCCATTATCACTAAGGCACTTTTCCCAGGGGCAAGACTTATCCATTGCACTATAGATGAGCTATCCTCTTTGACAGACCCAAATCTGGGACTCATCTACATAATTTGTGGCAGTGGGGCACTGTGTTGACACTTCACCCTGAAAAAAATTAGTAGAATCATCGACATGATGCTAGTTTTACTCACATACAAAAAAAAAAAAGAGTGAAGGGTCAGAAAGCCTTCCACCCACCGGTGAGAGTGTGGGAGAGCTTCCTGCTACCCTGTGCAGGCAGGACCTGCCGGCCCGAACCCAGGCACGGGGTGGGTGGGACCCTCTTCCACCACCTTGGGACCCCCACCACCACTCCACAGCACCCACCCCCCACCCAATTCTGTCGTGTTCAGTGAACCACCAGATCCAGTCCTAGCCCAGGCTCAGTGAGTGTGCGGGAGAGCTTCCTCTCCCCGCTACTCCACCTTGTCCCCTCCAGATACAGCTGAGGCCTGGCATACAGGGCTGAGGTGAAACCCTGCAGCTAAAATCCCTGCAAAGATAGGGAAAAAGCCACCAAGCTATCCAGGAGCAGAACATCTTGCCAGGGGGCAACAACAGAATCACTCCCAAGGGCAGCAGCAGGAAGGAGCTGAGTACAGTAGCCAGAACCAAAACAGGCACAGCAGGATAAATCCAAATTTTGTACATCTGCACCTGAATTTCAGTAGGTGCTAAGGTTATAACTGCACAAAAGCTCTACAACAAAGGTCAGAAGACAGGGCTACACAAAACGACAACAAGAAGGAGCAAAATACAATCTTAGACCCCAAGCCCACCCATAACAAGTGCAGAGGACACTAACACAGAACAAATTGGGATTCACACAGCTGAAATCAATGAATCAACATCTTCTGAAATAAAGAAAGAACTGCAGAAAGGTATAGAGGAACTCAGGTTGGAAATGAAAAAAGAAATCTCTGAAATAATAGCATCTGTAGTAAAAAGCAAATGCAGAAACATATGGAAGAAGCGGAATGCCCACACAGAACAAGTGCAGAGGATATTAGCTCAGCTGAGAAGTATGAATTAATAGCATCTACAGTAAATAAACAACAGCAGAAATTTATAGAGAAACTCAGAGTGGAATTGTTTTCTGAAATAAAAAAAGAATTCTCTGAATTCATAGCATCTGAAGTAAAGAATCAATTACAGAAACATAGGGAGCAAACCCAATCTGAAGAAAACACTGCAGTAAAAGAATTAATAACTTCTTCTCAAGAAGACACTGATAAAAACATAGAGGAGATTAGAAAAGTGACAGATTACTTGAATGAGCAATACATGAAAAAATAGATTGCATGAAGAAGAGTCAAAGAGATATAGAGGAACTTAAAATCTCAATTACAAGCTTGCAAAACCATTTGACTGAAAGTGAAAACAGTTTCAGATTTTGAAGACACTGGTGCAGCTAGTGAAAAGTTAAGAAAAGATCTCTTAAAAATAACTAGGAGGCAGGGAAAAATAATTCAACACTTGCAAGATGATGCAAAGATGACCAATGTGAGACTAATAGGTATCAATGTAAAGAAGAAGTCAATACAAAGGACATTAAAATATATGGGCAGAGGTAATAGCAAAAAACTTTCCAAATATGAGAAAACAATATGACACTCAGGTAACCAAAACATACAGAATGCCAAGTAACCTCAACCCAATTAAAAACACACTGAGCCCTATAATAGTCAAGATCCAGAAATTGAGCTCAAGAATAATATACTGAAAGCAGCTAGAGAAAAGAAGCAGATCACATTCAAAGGAAAACCCATCAGAATTACGGCCGACTTCTCTTCACAAACCATGAAGGCAAGAAGAGCATGGAGCAGAGTACTTCAAGTCCTCTATGAAACAAATTCCAGCCCAGTATACAATGCCCTGCGAAACTCTCTTTCAATTTTGATAGAGAAGTGAAATACTTTCATGAAAAAGAACAGATAAAGAATTTCGTGATCACAAAGCCAACCCTATACAGTCTACTGAAAGATGATCTAGAGAGGGACCAAAACAATCATAACTCCACAAATGAGATCAGAAGCAACCAAGAAAATACCATGAACAGTTAACACAGGAGAAAAAGGAGTATATGACAACAGGTAAATAACATGTTAATCATAAGTCAATACATCTCAATTCTAACCGTTATGGAATACAGTGTGGAGTCTCCTTAGAATACTTGGACTGGAAATCCCATTTAATCCAGCTATTTTTCTACTGGGAATTTTCCCAGAGGATCTGGAAACATCATATCATAGTGATATATGTGTTCTTATGTTTAATGTAGCACTTTCTGATAGCCAAATCTTGGAAACAACCAAGAAGCCCATCACCTGAGAAATGGATTAAAACAATGTGGTATTTTTATAGAATGGAATATTGCTCAGCTATAAAGAATGATAAACTCGAAGCCTTTATATTGAAGTGGATGCTACTTGTATATATACTCATAAATGAAATAAACAACACACACATTTGAAAATATTGTATAGTTTGCCTAACATAAGTACTCAAAAGAAGAAATACGAATAGAAATGTATAACACAACTAAAAAGGTAGCAAGAACTTTTGGAGTAGACAATGAAAAGAATACAAGAAAAAAAGCTAGGAAACATGACAGGGGCAAGCCATAAAGTTATATGTAGAAGATGGGTAAGGCAATGATCCTCAGAAACTTCAGAAGATTTTTGAATCAAGTAGTTAACTGGACAGATTCTCACCCTGGCTAACTACATATACAGACACCTATGAACTAATCAACTGCACTGATGATGGCAATTTGTAATAGTAGGTTCTAGCTTGGAGTGCCTGTCATTCTGGTCTTCTGAATATGGGCTGCTTGTCATGACATGCCAGTTGCTGCTGTGCTGTCTCTCAGATAGATGACTGTTCAAAAAGCTGGGGGTAGTGAATCAAGGCAGGAGATAGGAAAAGGAATGTTGAGGGACTCTCCTGCTACAAGTTGTTTATGGTTAGATTTCTGGACTTATATGTAAACATAAGAATTATATAATTCCTTATGCCTATTTTAAAATATATTTTAATTTTTTAAATGTTTTTCATCATATTCTGTAGGGACTTAAAGTTTAACATATCAATACTTGATGATAAACACCTGTTCTATGTTATGCCTAAGATGTTTGCTATTCAGACAGATAGTCAGGTTAAGCTAAACAGCCTAGGTTGTGCAGTAATAACAATAAGCTTCTCTTCTTGAGGGTTAACAACCTAAGTTTGTAGAACAAAATTAGTGAAAATGATGGCTGCAAGGAAAGCCAACATTTTGGCCCTAGCCTTCCAAGTTAACTTAAGATTCAGGACAAGGGTAAGGCAATGATCCTCAGAAACTTCAGAAGATTTTCGAATCAAGTAGTTAACTGGACAGATTCTCACCCTGGCTAACTACATATACAGACACCTATGAACTAATCAACTGTGAACCAATCAATTATGGAAATGTAACATCATGTAACTCAGTAGTGTCCCAAATTTTCTAATCAAGATTATGGGGCCAAAGAGGAAAGTGATTGATGATGTAGAGTGTGCCTAAGGAGAGTCACACGGAGAGGAAACATTATTTCAGGCTTTCCCAGAGATCACATTGGCCAAGCAATGGCTGTGACTCCTCCACATGGCTGATACTGACAAAGGTTCTACAATCTGAGGTACAGGATCTCAGGATAAATCCTGAGGGGATTTGACTGACCTTATCAGATCCAAAAGCTACAACTCTTGTTGCATAGGTCTTCCTTTATCTTGGTCTTCACCGTCCAGCAGAAAAGTATAAAGATGAAGTATAAGAAGTAATACCATGGTGTTATGTTGAGCTGTAGGGGACTCAGGTCAACAATTTCTGACACTGTCAGTCAAGCAGAAGTCCCAGTACTATTATGGACTACTGGAAGCTTTTAGAATATTTTGCTGAGCTAACACACCTATAATATTCAAATTATGGAACTAAACAAAAATGGGGATACAGATGAATGTTCATTTTGTATCTGTGGATTCAAAATGGTTAGGATAGGTGTATAGTTACATTCTCTTAATGAATAGAAGGATTTGTTGTAATAGTGTTTTTAAATAGGTTATCATGTCTGCATCTTGTACAGCAAATAACCACTAGGAGGAATGTATGCAATGTGTTAATTATTGAAACTGTCATACCAATTTTATCTGAAACTGTCTCTTTCCTATATGTCTCTAAATAAAATTATGGAAAAAAAGAAAGCCTTCCCCCCCAGTTTTAAAAGTAGGGAATAGTAGGAGTCTAACTTGACTGTCAAAAGGAGTTGGACTTGTACTTTTTGAAAATGCTGAACTGAGGGTGGGCGAGCTACCTCAGTGGAATATGTGCCTGCTTAGGCAAGCACAAGGGCCAAGGTTCAATCCTTGGCTCCACACCCCATGCCAACCCTGTCTCGGGGAACACTGAGCTAGCAACCTTGTCCAGGAATGGTGATACAGGCCTGTAATCCCAGCACTGGAGGAGCTAAAAGCAAGAGGATCACTATGAGCTTGAGCTGCATAGTTAGACTCTGCACACACACACAAAAAAACCCCTAAAAAACAGTAATAAATAAACAAAAATGATAGACTGTAAAAACTTTGGGGAAGGTTAATTTTTTATACAAAATAGGCAAAATTATGGTCTTCCCCTGTATTTAGCAATTAAATATGGTTCAAAGAGATATGCTTGTTTGTCAAATAGACAAAGGGGTATAGTGTGATAATTAAGTTACATTGTGCTAACTTGATTTCCTTCGGAGCGACCTAAGGGATTGGTGCAACTCACTCAGTAATGTGTCAGTGTGGGTCATAGAGGTGTGACCTTGAGTACTACATCTTGTGCCTTGCCACTTCTTCTCTAGTATTGATCCATTGCTCTGCTTTCTCACTATCATGAATCAAGCAGTTTTCATCTTGTGCCATGACATGACTTGTGCCATGTCATTTTTGCTTTTGAGACTAATAACTGTGAACTAAATCCTCTAAAACCATAAGTCAAAATAAATTATTTCTTCTAAGTGCAGGTGACGGATATTTTATCCCAGCATGGAAGAGTGACCAATATAGTACATATCACATTAAAAAATTGACAATCAAAAGCAGAAAAT